GGAGAAGGGAAATGTATGGATTTAAATTCTAAACTACTGTCTGCTTTGGTGACAATGACCCAACATTGGGTTTTATTCCTGACTTGATAAAGAATTCAGCCTTGTTTTCAGTATATATGTCTTCTCTTTTTGCTGATGTTCTTTGGGGTCTCTCAAACTTCATCTTCCCTCTTTCGCAAATCTACATTTACCCATAATTACTCGCTTTAGCACACTACTAAGGAAGGCTATTTTTGAGAGTCTGTTTTTTAATAACTTCTGATTTGAAAAGTTGACAGGTTGAAAGTCCTTATCTACTCTGATTTCAGTGGAAATTAGATAGATAAATATCGCTGTGGAACTGAGCCATAACAGCTGAGCTGCTAACAAAGCTGTTTCATCTGTAAAGAAAATAGTCCTCTTCTATAGAGTACTGAATGACAACTGAAATTGCATCATTAAAAAAACTTAAGGACTATCAACAGAATTAGTAGTATAACCTTATTTTAATCTTGAAATACTAGTTGATGTGAATTTCTAAATGTTTTAGATAAACATGATAAACCAGGATGAATATTTCTTTGTTTCTTTGTAGAGAAAAATGAACTTTTTTGAGCATATTACAGTTCTTTGCCAGACTGGGTACAAAATCACAAGTGCGCAACTCCATCAGAAAAGGTTTCTTCAACTCACTAATTTTGGGAAAACAGGAGAGCTTTATCACTAACTGTTAGACCAGAAGAGAATAATATGTGGTGCTTTTAATGGTGGCAAGCTAACTGTGGTGTACCAAGAAGTTATATTCTAGGACTAGTGGCAAGTAAGTTTAATAATATGGAAGGGGAAGCAAAAAAGGGAGATTATTCTTTTTGGATTTGACAGATTTACACAATGGATACTTTATTTATACAATAAAGAGTTTAAAAGAAAAAGTGGTAGTTACTGAAAAAATTTAGTGTAAGCAAGTATCAGGTAATTTTTTAAGGAAATACTCCCTTTTTAGCTCATTATAACCAGTCTTTCAAAAGTACAGTGAAGGTACCACCAAGAGGGGTCAGTTAAAGAATGTAAGAAATGGCTCAAGATTCAATAAGCAATTACAGTTTTCTCTTGTGAGTTTTGTTTTGTTTGTTCTTGCAATTCCTTTAAGAATGTAGATATTTTCCGTATCTCTTCTTATGTTTACGGGAAATTTAGAGTAGCATTTATTACATACGTTCAATCTCACCTATCCTTTTCCTTGTGCACAGATTTGTCTGTTGTATTTTGGGTTTTTATACAGTTAAAAACACACTTTTCTAGAGTTTGAGATACACTGTCATTAACACAGTCAAACTTGCTACCAAATGCAAAAGCAAAGAAAGAAGAAATATTCTTTCTACGATCACTGTATTCTTAATTGTTATTTTGTATTATTGTATACAGGTATTTTGAGGGCATGTCATTGTCAGCATTATCTGTAACTGAAGAAAAATAAATCATGTTTGACACGATTATTAGAATATTTTTTACAGTGATTGAACACTTCCTTGACTGATTGTTTTTGGTGTTTTTTTAATAAATAGAAACAGAAAACTAGAAGTTATGTGATAAAAATCAAGTAAAAAATAAAAAGGATGGCACTGTTTACTTCAGAGAGGGGATACATAAATGTACTTAGGGTATTTATTTCATTAATGGAAGTTTTAGATTATCAGGAAATGTTCAAAGAATAAATATATTATCCTGTTTGCACCTTCTCTCTTTTCTCTGTGCTTCCACACATTCAAAATCGCGTTACAAATGTTAATCTAGAAGATGACTACCCCAGTTATCCCATGCCTGTTCTTCATTTGGGGGAAAACTAGTATTGAAGAGCCTTTAAAGAAGTCCCTCTCTTCTCCTGAGATGCAAATGCAATATGACTGTAGAGGCTAATACACTTTTTTCAGATAAAAGAGTACTTTAAAGAGATGCTTTCATTTTTCTAAATATTCTTGTTCTGTAAGAAATAATGCTTTATGATGTAACTATAGCTAATGCATACAAGAACAAATAAAACTTACTGTTTGAGGGAAAACAGCTTCAAATCTGTTTGTGGACTCATCTGTGGCTTGTGTAGCAGGCATGGTACCTTGTGTGTCTGGGCAAGTCGCACACTTCTCATACTCAGTAGTAAAAGCTGCATTTTTTTTCAGTTTTAACTGGGATTCCTGAATGCAACCATATTGGTCTTATCTGCTGTCATGATTCAAAATACTTTGTCCGTCCAACTTTAACTTAAAAGTCTAAAGATATCTCACATAAACGTATAGAGATTATAAGCCCTTTTCCCGTAAGAGTTGCCAGTTTGGTTGTAGGTTTAGATTTTCAGCTTGGCCTCAGTAGAGAAATACTTACTATTCCCAAAAGCCTGTGCTATGATTTGTAGTGATTTGGCTTTTTAAGGCAAGAGTTAGTGAGTAGTTGGAAATACTCAGTCTTGAGCGCGCATTGTAGCTGTTTGTATTAAATAGTAACTTGCTCATACCTTACAAACTTAAATGCTGTGTCACCTTCATATAGTGAGCATATATCCATGTACATCTGTGAATCTACAGTGTGAAGAAAAAATGGATAATAACAGCTTTGATACTGGCAAAGTGATGGCACACATGTAAACTAGTAGCAGTCTGCAAATATATATTTAAATATATGTATTTATGCATATAAGTGGGAAGTGTATTCTAGATGATGTAACTTTTGAGGAATTATCTGCAACTATAGAATAATTAAGTTGAAAGAGGATTTTTAGTGTTCTGTGATACTGAATGTTCAGATTCTGGACCAGAATTAGTGAGATCTAAGTTACTCGTCTGTTCTATTGCAGACCTTGTGTGCTTTCACGGAGGTAACTCCCTTTTTTTTGCAACTTAGTTTTTTTTTAACCTGTAATGCACAAGAATATTCCCCCGCTTCACTCTTTAGTGATCTTAAGTTCTATGAGAATGGCATATATGTCTCCTTTTGCTGAATGAGTAGTGCAATAAACACAATTAGACCTGCATTTTGATTGTTCTTCTAAGAAATTATCCCAATATATACCATTGTTTTCAGGCTATAAGCTGGAAACTGAGTAGCATATAATATTAAAATGGCATACATGCAGATAATTCATAAGTCTATGAATTGCCAAGCTCAGAAGCAGTCAACCAGTTCTAAAACCAGTGTTGATGTACATAGTGTATTTCAGTGTAAAAGCTGAAAATACTGACAGCAACGAGTATCGGATGAAAGCAGAACCAGAGCAAACCTGAACCTGTGGTCAGCCATGTGGAACTGCTTAAAGCCAAGAATGTCTCTCTTCTGAAGGAACTAGAATTGTCCTATTGAAATGTATATGCATAGGTGTTTTATGCTTTGAACATCTACAGTCACCAGTCCGTGAATAATTGTGCCGCTCCAGTTGCAGGAAAAGGAAGCGTGATTAAATTTGTTGGTCCTACTGAGAGTTGACAGTTTTATTGTTCTTAGATATGTGGATAACTGTGCACGAAGGTGGTGGGTGAAGAAAGTGGCTTTTGCTGTTGTGTCAAAATCGAGAAACAGCAGTATGCAGTTAGACCTGAAATCAGCCTAGGATGTACTGGAAGAGAAAACCAGTTCTTGACAGCAGCCAGAAGGAAATTCAAGTTTTCTAATCTTAGAGTGTTTGTTAGGGAGATATTTTCAGAATTCCCGGATGTGTAGTTTCTGCTGTCTCCCTTTTTTTATGAAGACAGAGCCAAGCTTATATTCAGCTTTTTTTCACTCTTTGCTTGATGTACCTTTTTTCAGAACCACCTCTTGTTGAGCTTCCTTTTTTTTTTTTTTTTTTTTTAAACCAAGAAGCAAAGCAAATAGTTACCAAGTATGTGATATGTGTTGATGGCCAAGGAGTAATATACCCTGATGCTTGAGTCAGGAACAGCATATTCTTAGTGAAGGACAGGGGAAAGATTTCTTCCAGTTGTTTTTCACGTTTCTGTTTTGTGTGGCTTTCATATTTACCTTTTAGCATTCAGAAAATTCTTGGCTATTTTGGATCCCTCTTTCTAGCTTTTGTTTCCGGTAACGTGGGCAGCAAATGGACTCCATAAAGGTATTCTCTTTATAGGGGGAAGTCAGTGCTTGTGACTTTGACTTCCTCCAGTCTATGACATGGTTCCTTAAATTCTGATTCACCTTCTGTTTTGTTTATTGCTGTGTTCCTCTGGCAAAATTTCTCAAACCTAAATATTTACAGTAAGTTGTAAGTCCGGTCAATATCTCCTTTGTTTAGTTTTCTGTTTAACTGTTGTCTGATCCTTTTCTCCTTTTGTGGAAACGTTTTCCTATATAATCTTAGAATTGCCTGCATTTTCCCTTGAGCATTTTCTTTTAGTCTCTCCACTTTCTTTTTCTTAGGAGATGTGTTAGTGATATGAAGTTCTGGGTGAGAGGTATTTTCAGTTTGTCTTGTAGCATTTCTTGAGGTGCTTCCCTTGCTTATATAGCAGTTGCTGTCATATCTGTGGCAGTAAATTCTTTAAATCTTTAGATTGTTATATTTTATCCATATTTACATACCTGGGCCAAAGTATTTACACTGTAGACAGTGAAGGAAGGAACCTGAGTAACTGGAAAGTGTCCGGTTTCTGTTTTCTGTAATGGGACAGTTTTAGGACTGTGCAACTAGTGCATCTTTGTATGTGACTTGCTATTGCTAGAAGTTTCACTACTGCCTAAACCACTTCTTTATGGGGTGTAAGTGTGGCTTCTGATTGCTTGTTTAATGATAATTAAGTTGCTCCACAATTTTTTGCAGTTAAATCTTAGCACTAGGGAGGAGCAGGTGTATGCATGGGTGTGGCCCTGTTGTGTATATTGAAATAATTTTATAGTATTACCAACTAACATGTTGAAAACTTGATATTAACAGTAATTTAAAAGAATTAAGCACCTAAGTAGAAGGTGAAAAGACTCTCTAAAAGCTGTTTTTCTTGTTGGTCGTCTTAAATGATGTTTTTTCTTTCTGTTTCTAGGTTTTCTCAAATAATGATGAAGCCCTTATTAACAAAAAACTACCCAAAGAACTTCTGTTAAGGTAATTCTACATAATGTGTTAAGGAGTAAAAGCCTGAGGATCGTATGTGGCTTACAGGCCACATAAGAAGTGCTATTCATTCTTTTCTTAAATCTGTCTTGAAATAAATAGCAACATACCTGATTTAATTATTGGAATTCTTAAACTTGTTGTCTTTTGGTTAGTCTTGATTTGTTTTAATGTGTTCAAATTATACTATACCATGGAAGAATTCCATCACATCAAATTTAATAGTGATCTTTTCCTTGCATATCAGAAAACGAAGTGAAATAAAATGTCCAAAAAGCTTTGGGGCACAGAGTAGTCAGCTCTTCCACACTGAACAATGTTTTATCTGTCTGAAGAGCCTATAATCCTTTCCCTAATGTAGTTGTGTCATGACCTTTGTTATAACAAAATAAAATATAAATTCAACTTCAAAGCTTTCAAAAAGTCACTGCAGTGAAAAGCGCTTCCTGTTACCATTACTGCCAGTCTGTGTTATATAAGGTAGAACCAACAGGAGGATTTTTCTTACTGTAGTCATTTGGCTAGTCATAAATTTCGTCAGCTTGCTGGTGTGTGAGTAGGTCACCTTTGCAGGAGTTAGGTACAACACCAAGATCAGTAAGTTCAGCCCATGGTTGAGACACTGATGGATGTCATCACGCTGTCAACTTGTTGAATGTTGATTTGAAGCAAAGCGTAAACTGCCAAATGTGGAGATACTGCTTGACTGGATGTAACCACTTCAGAGCTGGAACTGAACCAGCTCAGCAACATCTTCTGTAGCTGCATATAGGTTTTGTTACAGCCCACTCTCTGAGGGGAAAGAAGAAAAAGTGTTCACTTATAATGGTGCAATTACAGTTTTTAGTGATGGTGTTATTAAAATTGAGCTGTTGTTGTCTTCTTAATACACTGAAGAGATGTTTGGGTTAGCTTGTATGTATGTCTTTGCTTCCTGTTTGATTTGAAGTGGAAGAATGTCTCGAATAATGGTATTTTGCATCTTGTGTCTGAAGAAAGTGCTCTTAAAACCTTATGACTTCTTTTAGTGTCTGTACTATCACAATGCTCTCTTGGTGGTATTAAAGAAGCAGTCTCTTGTTAAAGGAATTAAATTTTGAAAGGATTTTCGTCTTTGTTGAGAAATACTCATTCCATATGGTGGCAGTGTTGTAAATTAGACTCATAGAACTGTTTAGAAAATGTGATTAAAAGAGATGCGTCACTGAATGATGCCCTGAACAGAAATTCTAACAACTTTGCTTTGTTGCACTCAATGCCACACATGAACCACAAGATAAAAGTCAATTTAATATGCCGCCTCCTTAGCAAAGAATCATAATCTGCAAGCACTTCTTTTCTAGCAGTAGGACTCTCCAAATATCTGTGGAAATGACTGTCCTTTTCACTGTTATGGGTGCTAAGTATCCCATTTATGTAATTCAGTAGAATTTGTTGATGTGGTTTAGACAGCAAAAAGTATTGTGCACTGAGATAGTAAAGACTTTTGAAAAAACTTACTGATTATGTAGCATGCCTCAGTTTTCATTGTAGGATAAAAAGAAAATATCTGTGAAGCTATGTAGATATTAAATTCCTAAATAATTGTGTCTATGCTGATTACATGAGTAGCATCTATAAAATTAATGTGTTGAGGTTTACTGTGAGAATTCCTGTGTCTAACTTCTAGGTTTCTTGAATTGTGTATTCCAACACCAAATTTGGTAAGTTCTTTAAAATGTAGCTTGTTTGTTTCCTTGAGCAGTATGTTTGTTCCAACATATGTCGTCTTATACAGGACATTTTAAGGAACTCAGTAGGAAAAAACCCATGTGCAAGTAATTGGACAGTACCAGTGGCTTAGCTGGTTAGCTCTCGTATTCAAGATAACTTCTTACAGAGCAACTCGGAGAATATATAGGCTCACCTTGGATTTGACCAACTGAGGAAGTGGTGCAGCTAGGCACTGCCACTACACTAACTATCGTGGCAGTGTCTAAAGAAGCCGTTTGCATGGTTGAAGGGCTTCCTGGGGCTCAAATGACAAAATAAAATAGCCCAGGCCAAGCATACGCAGAACTTACTCAGCCAACCATCTAGTTCTTGTGCACGTATGTCCTCTTTGCAATTGCACAGTGATCTACCAAAGTAGCATTGCAGCTGTAGCCAGAAGAGTTGATGATCTGAGAAACTGAATTGGGACAGTCAGCTTTCTCAGTAAAGATCATTATGATCTCATGCTGAATGCTGGGACTCAGGTGATGGTCTGCCCATAGCCAGACAGAAATAAAATCCACATTTCATAACACCCACAATATTGTGCTGACCATCAGGGCTTTGGAATGGAGAGGAAGGGGGTGGGTGGGAGAGGTGCTCTGTAAACCTTTTGAAATTGTAGTGCCGCAGAGACAAACTCACAAGGCCAGAGGCAGAGCATGTTAGAGAGAATGTTATGATGGGACATGCTCTTGAGTTCTCACCCCTGCAGAGTGTAGATACCTAGGGAAATTTAGGGGTGCAAACCTGGCTGTCTAAAGGATTATCAGTGGGGAATTTGTTTTATGCTTCTGCACATAAATGCTTTTGTAAGACTGAGCCTGAATGTCTTTCAACACCTAGAACAGTTTATGCTCGTGCTACAACATGTTTTAAAATTTTGTCGTGTGGTTATGACAGGAGAGATTAAATATTGCCGCACTGAGGGTAATTAATATCCTAATTATTTTTACTATGCAGTCTACCTTTTAATTAAATGGATAGTAAACCAGTTGCAGTGGAAACTCAACTCAATTTTGCTCACAGTGCCAGAACTGAATAGTAAATAGTGTTGAAAGAGTCATCAAATGCACTTAGTTTGTTTCTTGCTTATATCAGATATGTATGAAAACTGTTGGAAAGCACTATGGCTCTTGTTTAAAAAAACATGAAATTCGACACATGGAAAAAGAGTGGTTAATATTTTGTAACAAATATCTGGAAAAGAAATGTAAACACAGTTTCTTCTATTGCAAGAATTGGTCTTGTTCTCATTTGCATCAAGTATTTAAACTTCTGTAATCTGACTATAACAAGCAATCTGGTTTTTTCTCTAAAATCGAGAAATCTTTTTCTGATGGTAGGCTTCAGAAATACTACCACTCTAAAATATATTCATTTGTTGCTATAATTGCATATGCTAAAGCTGAACAAAGTAAGCCCTTGGTCTTATACTGCAATTCTTACTCTTTCTCGTTATTATTTATTATTTATCTAACAACCAGAATTAAATTGGAAGATTTTCAGGCCAGTGTCGTGTCTCTTGCACATTTTCTACAGAATATCTACTACACGTGTAAGTAAATGGCTGAAATCTTCAGCTTCTCAAGGCAAGAAGCTCATTTGAAAGGATAAGAAACCAGAGATTATTTGTTCCTTCTCAAGTAGACCCAGATAACTGGGCAGAGGAGGAAGAAGATATCTGACTGATATGGACAGTGGTGGTTTTGAAGAAGACCCTGGTTTGGAGGGACCAGTTATGCTTTGAGATAGGTAGAATAGCTTGAGTGGAGGGAGGGAGGCATTTCATTTGTAACTTTTTCTGGTTTATAGGCATTTATTTTTATTTGTGATATTGAAGTAATTTTTTTTTTTTTTCCTGTGGAAGAAATAGGCTGCTTTTAAAAACTTTGATTTGTACTACTGTTCAAGGTAAAAGAAAAATTATCACCCCTGTTAGCTGTTGCAGTGCTATTAGTTTGCCAGTTGGCAAGGAATGCTCTTTCCCCTCTGCTCTTATATATTACAAGAAGTGAAAGGTTGAATAAATTGCTCAATTGTATGATGTTTGAGTAAGAATCCTGTGGAGGTATTATAAATCATGTAATTTAAACAATGTTTTTAGACAATTGTAGCTTTATTTTTTTTCTTAGCCTGTGTTTATGGAAAAGCATCATTTGATTGTACAGTACATTAGTTGTGGATTTGCATTGGTGTCTAAAGTTAGTAAACCCGTATCTATCATCAGAAGAATCAGAAATCAAGTCAGAGATAGACTATTGCAATTTTAACGGTAACAACTTTTCCATTAAGTTTCCATTAAGATGTCACAGCCTTGAAGATGATAATATTTTTCTTTTTTTCCTTGTAAATTGCTGGAAAAAACAAATGGATTTTTAAAGTTAAAGTATGAGTTTGAAAAACATTGGAAACAAAAAAACCTGAAGTGAATGTAATTAATATTAGAATGTTCTGGCTTTCCAACAGCTTCCAAAAATTTTTTCTTTTGTTTTGTGCTTGATAAAAAGTAATAATACGTGTTTGAAAGTGGAGGTATAGTCAGTACTTTTGGCATGTAGAAGGACAGATAACATCTGTTCATTTGTATTTTAACTGCCAACATTCTGTGCTATAAGATTTTGCATGAAAATGGCAAGCTTTAGAAACAGAGATGTATATTCCTTTCGATCACTTGAACCATTTTCAGTTCCTTTCTGCCTACTAACTTCATACATTGTACCACAAATGTAGAACCTATTATGAGTTCTGCTATAATCCATACTTATTGGGTGCATGTACTTGGATAATAGATCTTACTCATCAGACTCAAAATTTGAGTGCTTAATCAGATTTAAAAGAGGATAAGCAAAGTTTTGGGACTCAAATTGGGAGAGAAACCCGGGAGTTGTGTTCCAGCAGCAGCTTTACTTGTGTGCAAGAATATGCAGCTTGTGAGTTGGCTAATGAAGTATTATATATGTTTTCATGTTTCTATTTGTTGTTTTTATTACTGCACGCTGCTTTTTGCTCAGCTTTTAGTGTGTTCATTATTGTAGAGAAGAAAAATTACCAGAAGCTTAAAATTAGTAAAGTCAAACATAGTATTTGGTATATTTGAAGTGCTGCTTTACCATCTGTATGCTTAACTGTGGGGGAAGTAGAAAAGAAATACAGCAAAGGTTACAACAAGAAATTGTCATAATGCCATTGGTATTTCTTAGTTAGGTACTGAAATGCCCCACAATTGCTGTAAAATT